AATGACTCATATATATATATATATATATATATATATATATATATATATATATATATATATATATATATTACGTTAACCCTATATTTGTACCCTCACCTCAGATTTTATAAGTATATTTTCAGTACCTTTTGTATTTGCGACGAAAGATATGAATCTTAACTTCTTTATTTCTTGAATGTGCAGATTGTGAGATATATATTGTTTTTATAACCAGATGAGTCTGGGCCAGTTCTCGGAAAAGGACCTTCCCTTCTACCCCCATCTCCTACCTGGTCCGCTGTTTGACAGATAGGCGTGAATGATGTTAGCCAGTTCCATAGTCGCTGGTCAAAACAAACGCTGCTTGACAGATAACTGTGGATGACATTAACAGGGTCCGTGAATGACGCATACCTTTTTTTGGGGGCCAACACGTGACTCAAAAGATAGCAGTTTTCGTTTCGCACGTGTTGAGGTAACAACAACCACACATAGTTGCCGGCTATCGGAGGAGTCGGACGTCACCAAAAACCAGTCTTAGCTATTCGCCATTAGAAGAAGCAGTTGTCACCAGAACCAGGCTTCGTTGTTTGATGCCAGAAGAATTAGATGCCACCAAAAATTAAAGGACCAACGCAATCTAGATCAACATCGTCAACCCAAGTTAGCTATATTCCCGTGATTTTTCTGTGTGTTCTCCTCGCCATCAACACGGATCGGACGTCGCCAGTCAAGAATTCATGTTAGAATATTGTGAATCCCACCCGTTACTTTCAAAGAAGTGTATGAATATCCTTTGAACAAACTGTACCCCGATAATAGTCAATCGACGTCGATTCCAACCTTATGTAAGTTTCTGCATGTTTTTCCATATCTTATAATCTGCTATTTCCGTATTCGTATGTATTTCGCCGCATTAATATTTGTTTAATTAGTAACTTATCTCCCCATCCCTTGTATTATTTAGTTCTCTTTTTCTTTTTTTTACATTCACACTCCGTGTATTCTAGAAATAAAATCTTTGTATTATATATTCTCGTGTTGTCTTCTGTTGTTCTGTGTCTGCGAATTGTTCATTTTCTCTCTGCGTTTACCGACGTCCGGAATTGGAGAATTCCCCTCCCAACGTTCTTTTCTTTAATTTTAATCCTTGGGATCTCTTACTTATTTTTTTTATTATTTTCTCGTTGTGTCCCGGCTATCGTAGTCCCACGAAACCCCGGGCGTAACAATATATATATATATATATATATATATATATATATATATATATATATATATATATATATATAAATTTTTTTATTCCATCTCTTCTAAATGCTACCTCATCTGTAAGCAAGACTAAGGAGACAAACAACGGATAGGCAGTTTGTGCAATACTCTATCGCCAAATGTTCTTCCGTGGTGAGTGATCAGATGGCGAAAGACCATGCACACGTTGCAAATAATATAGATACAGGAGCTGGTATTGCAGTACCCTCCATGCAGTACTGAGATGAATGACATAATACGCCCACTTGACGAGTGCTGATACCTGGATCGTCTCCGACAGCCTGTAGAAAGTCTTCTCCGTGGTCAAGCATACGATTAGATTTCGGTCGTCCTCAATCCATATTTTGTGGTGCCACTAACTCTGTCACAACAACGCGACGATAAACAGCAGCAATGGTTGGATGACTCGGCTGCCTTCGGTCTGAAAACGCAATCTGATGCAGCCGTGTAGACTCGCGTCCATTAACATTCGCGCCGCCGTATGTAAAATTCTGCCTGCTCACGGTATGAATATTCTGCCATTCTTAAACAGAACACTTCTCAGTTAACTCAATACTACACACGTTAAATGTTGAAGAGAGACTAGCCAAAAATGTATACGAATGAGAAATGTAACCTAGTTTACATGGCAACATGCCATCTAGTGCAAACTTCATTAAACTTAATAACTCAAAACGAAGGATTTTCGGATATATGTTTATATGAACTTTTGTCCTTGCTTTGCTGTGAGGAACCCGTCTCCAAAGTTTGCAAAAAGTATTTCTGAAACAACACACACACACACACACACACACACACACACACACACACACACACACACACATATATATATATATATATATATATATATATATATATATATATATAATTAAGAGTTCAGCCGATTCCGCTGCCTTGGTTTCAACCTTTCGGTATCTTTAGGCGATTTCGGTCAATTGATTTAAAAAAATAAAAAAAAGTTATGAACGCTATATTTTTTTTAAAATAAATAAATAAATAAATGATTGAATAAGCGCGCGAAGTAGGCTGTGGTAGAAAGTGAATAGGAGAAGAAGAAAGAAGGAAGAATCAAGTGTATTGGAAATGTATCGATGGCGGATTAAATGATGTCATAATTTCCGATTTCTGATTCAAATGTTTTTGGTGGTGGGGGGTCTGGAAATGTTATATCTAATTTTTCTTGTTCGCAAAAGTTACAAATTTTGCTATGATTGTTGTAAGGTTTTGCATTTTTTAAAAAAATTTCCAGTTTACAATCGGATCTTTTTATGTTTTCTTTAATTTCCACACATGGTTGCCTAATTTAGTAGAATTTTAAAGATTTTCTAGCTGAAAAGATGACTTATGATTGTACTACCTATTTTTAACGTTACCATCAGTACCCCCTATGTATATTTTTCTGGCTATTTGTGTCTATTAATTCTGTTTTGTAAATTACTGCTTCAGTTGTTTAAACTCCATCTAAGTGTCATCTATTTTTATTTCGACAATTGCATATTTCACTGTTAACGTTGTTATGATGCACGTTAGTTTGGAAATTTCTGGTGTTTTGTCTTTTTATTGTAGTTTCTCAATTACCAGTACTAGTATTAAATATTTTACATCCTGCGAGGTTTACATATCCATAAGGCACGCTGGAGCAGATAACGCAATTCCGCTATTGGAGAATATAAGTTGAATCATGGGATTATGAATCCGGATTATATTACAAGTGTTCAGGATCTCATTGCTGAGCCTCATCATCCTCAAACTCCAAGCACGACAAGAATGAACTGACCCAAAGGCAGTCAGAAAGCTACTTCGTCGAATGTCGATCAGGAACTCTCATGAATATTTACTAACCATCTAAAGAGTCCCAGATCAGATCTTTCGGAAGAGTTGTGCACGGGGCTTGTCTTGAGCGCTTTGCTATGGCAAATGCAAGAGGGGATAGGAAGAAAGAGAAGCGACCAAATTGACGACAGATTCAGAAATGTAAACAAAGAAGCTCAAATTTATGAGAAGGCAAGTCTTAAAGGCTTGCTTAATGATATTAAAGAAAGGATCTTAGTAATCTCTCGAGATGAGGGTTATGGTTAGTGATAGGTTTGGGGTTAGGGTTCAGTTAGAATTAGGGTCAGGGTTACGGTTAACCCTAGCCCTAAACAAAGAAAATGTCGGAAGAAAACGATCCCCTTGCGTGGAAATGGTGTGGATAATTCATGTTCTACCTGTTGAGGTCAGATGCTGCGATTCCTTTGACGTTCAATCGTTTCCTGCTTTCGAAGGTGGGCATCACTGTCCGGTGCCTGAAGCGTGCTTCAAATCGTCTCCAGACCACAGCTCAACAGGCATCAAGTTGGACTTGGATTTATGTTACCTCCCTTGGTTGGCGGCTGACGAGGGCAGGGTATTGCACGTGCTTTCGTTATATATATATATATATATATATATATATATATATATATATATATATATATATATATATATATATAGAGAGAGAGAGAGAGAGAGAGAGAGTGAGATAAGAATATGACTCAAATATTAGTTTAGTTTATTATATTGCACGGTTATTGGATTATTCCTTGTTTATTCAAGTCAGTTTAGTTACATACAGCCAATGGATTATCAGTGCATTTTGTCATTTTTGTTGTTATATATTTTACACGTGGAATACGGTGAATTCCATTTTGGCTCATGCATATATTCTCAACTTTAGTCGCACGCAAATACACCGACGGCTAAAAGAGTAAAAAAAAAATATTTTTCTAGATTTTTGCTGTGATGCGATGTGTGGGTCAAGATTTGTAAGATTGAACTGCTCAGCACTGATATCTTATAATTCTTCTGATCTTGTTTTTGCTTATAATCTGATGGACACTGTGTTTTTAAATGAATCAGACTGCTTGAAATATTTTGCTGAAATTTGCTTTTTATTCACTCCTATTTCATTTGCTCTAATGTTATTCAGAATGGAAATAAAACTACACTATTTTCAGCCGCCAGTTTCCGACACCGTTAATAAAATGTTGCAACTTCATGAGTTTTGAAACGAGAAATGTATCAATAATCTTCAGTTCCTGTGCAATAGCTAAGCTCACAAGAAGAATTTTTTACGAATGAAGCGACTACAAGCCTGTGTCTTGAGCAACAATAATGTTTACACTAACTAATGAAAAAAAGGAAACGATGTCAGTTACCTTGTTAGAATGTTTAATGCTGATTGATTGCATCTCCTTTTCCCTTAAAGTGGGACGTATTTAAAATGTCAAATTTACTTTGATTTGCTATTATAAATTTGACATAAGGCATGAAATTTAAATGGTCAGTATCCACTAAACAATTTTATTAATTAATAATAAACATTATTTCATCCCGTTTGCTTCTCACTCGATAAATCATCAATGAAGTCTTTTTTTCTCCCGGTATATCTGCTAGTGAGATTTTAATGTTATTATATGATTTATGTCCATTAAGTTGTAAATAACTAATGAGTCCAACAGTCATATTTATTTTTCGACTGTGATTTTAAATGAAGAAAATTACAAAGATCGTTGAACTAAATAACATTATAAAAGAGACAAGAAATAAATAATAAATGATGGTGGTAAAATTTACCTAATATATGGGGAACAGAGTTGATAAATCCTAGAAAATCTGATTTAGAATTGGGACGAATTGTTTGAAGGGATGGAGATAAAAGTATGGGAAAAAATTGAGGAAATATAGTGTTGCAGTATCTTAAAAGGCATGGAGATAAGATGGAAAAGTTAACAGTAAAAAAAAAGAAAGAGTAAAGTAAAGGTGAAAAGGAAAACTAGTATAATTATGAAAGATATAAGGAAGAAAAAGATAAAAACTAATGGAACTGAGGAGTAAAATATGTTGTAAAGAAAATAAAGAATGAAATAAATGAGATCATCAAAAAGATTATATAAAAATATGTGATTAAATTGAAAGGAGAAAAGAAAACTCAGAAGAGGGGGGGAGGAGGTGAGAGTTTCGAAAAAGTAAGGAGAAAGTGGATGGAAAAAAAGGCCAATTACATGGATGACGAAAAAGGAGGAAAATGTACAAAGGACCCGAAAAAATATTGTGTACAGAGAAAAAAGCAAATGATAGGAAGGAAACAAGGTAAAAACAAAATCCATGTGACTTTCTTGATGACGGTGAACACAAGAAAAGAGAAAATTATTGATGTTATTGAAGACACGACAAAGAAGAATACAATGAAACGAATACTTCTAGAGTTTTAAAGATGCAACAAAATGCTTTATTTAAATTTAATATTCCATTTAACTGTCACATATACATCTGGCTGGATTTGATCATATGTAAATATTTCATTGATTGAGATGTATTTGCTTATGTATGTGCTTATTAACATTGCTTTGAAATAATCTCCCAAAGCGATTTTCCGCCTTGCTCATCTACAGATAAATCTGCTAGTCATGCGTTCACTTTGAGAAACAGACACAAAGACGCTCTTACGCGCGAGCGCCGACACACACACACACATAAACGTACACGCGCATACGCATCCAAATTTAAATGTTGATAAAATTCAATATACTATAGCGACAATGGAAACTATTAAGGACAAATATTTATGTCGCTGTTTCTCAGAATTTTTACAGAATGTTATGAATAGTTGCAGCTTTTTGATCTCTAATCTTTATTTACATGTTTTGGGGTTTTTCTATTGAAAACATATGGCATTAGGATTAAATTGTAATATCAACGGAAGATAATAACTTTTTTCCCACCAGTAAATATCAATTCAAGCGGCAGAAATTGTTGCGATGCAAAAATAAATAAATAAATAAATATTCTTAGCGCGAATCATATTAAGTATTCATATATCTGAAAATTATAAAGCCGGAAATGAAATAACCAATGTTATCAACAATATAATATGTTTTGCAAATCCAAAAGTTTTTCTATTACACTATTTTAACAGAAAAAATATAATTGTTTTATATATTAAACCGTTCAGTTTCGTGATGATTTACGAAAAATCAATTTAATAATTGTTGTATTATTAAATTAATTACGTCGATGAAAGTATTTCATATTGCTATTAATGAACTTTTAATTAGCGGCTGAATCGGCAGCCAAAATATGAAAAATCTAATGAATCAGTGGCGCTTGCCCTAAGCAAACTGCTCCGTTCGTTTCAATATAAAATGCAATTTCAATGAATTTGTTTGGATTATTATTGTTGTTATTATTTCACTCCGTTACTATTTATAGAAATAATAAATGTTAGTTTGCAATAGTGATGAAATGAACCTTCATTTCACCATTTTCTCTATTATCCCAGATGTTATCAAAAATGCTGTCATCCGGATGATTTCCATTTCTTTCAGTATTTTCCCACACTTCTTGAGGATATTCTCATCACTCCAATAAAGGATAAAACGATTGACACGATGCTCCACAAATCATTCAGTTCTCTGCAAAGTCGCGATATTTCCTATCAGACATTTTCTCGTTCGTAACAGCAAAAGACTCTATTTCATATTTTCTCTTGCTTAACAGAGGATTCTGACCATGATTAGGTGATCTGTCTGAATTTCCAATTCTTTTAGGATATCTCTTGAACAGATTCTGCTCTGTGCATAATGGTCTCGGTGTTCATATTTTAGTCGCGTACACATTTCTCAGTGGATTAACTTCTTAACTCATTCAGGTGTATTCTTGTTTTCTTTCTGGATCTATTTTCTGTTTATCTAGTTAATCGCCATGTTTTTATTTCCATGAAGTTCATACTTGCGCTTTTCTTCTGTTTTATCATTGTTTTTTAATTGATTTCTTATCACTTTGTTTTGTGTACGACCCTGTTTCTTTTACCTCAATGCAGGCTTTGTCCCTGCCATTTTTTCTGTCATTCTCTCGATTTGTCTTAATTATTTTTTTATTCTAATGTTCTAATTATCGTATTTGCGATTGCTGTGATTCTATTCATTCTTCAGTTCGTAGGGTGCATTTTTGTGATGCTCTTAATAGTTCTTCCTTTCTATGACTTCGAGGCCAATATTGCAGAATTAACCCAATCCTTGGTGATTCTATTCTTGTACCTTTTTCTTTGGTTCTTCAATATTGTCTGTCTATATCAACTCGCATCACAGGCGTAGCAGCTGATACATTGTCAGCTCTTTTCTTGATATCGTCCAAATTTCTAAAGTCATCCTTAATTTTCTTTAAGAATACTATTGAGTACATCACAAACCCCTCAGTATATATTTGTAATCAATTTGAAAATTTCAGTCTATCGTAATGGTGTTGTTCTGAATTCTTTCTTCATCTCCTAAAATATAACGTTATCTGATTCCGAAATGCCGAGGAAGGCCTTATTTGACTATCTTTCTGGTGTTCTGACCTGTGATTTAATTGTTTCTATTATTTTTCATTATTTCATTAGCAGCCTTGCATTTATTTCAATATCAAATTAAATTCTTCTATCCTGCTTGAGTTGAGGATTCTTTAGTATAATTTAAAATGTAACCGTTTCCACCTACCCATACCCGATAGGATCAAAAAAATAAACAGCATACGCCTGCCCTTGCTACCCATTATGTCTATTCCCATAATACCCATAATATATTGAGCTACCACCCAACAAAGGAAACATAAAGGAAGCAGGTGATTATAAATTTCCATACATTAATTTAATATGTGAGAATTACTAGTTTCTAGGAAAGCTAAATTGTTTCACAATGAATTCTGTACGGTTATTACAAACAAGGTTGCTCCAGCTGATCGGACAAGGTCGAAATTGTGCCTTTAAGCGAAATTTCTCTCTCCATAGATCTCCCGAAAATTTTCATATATTCAGAGTCCCGTATACAAAAGTAAACAAAGCAATGTTTCTGAAGAAAGTAATGTACACTCGTATTTGAGAAGACCTTTTTCTTATTTATTAAACAGTATATTTTTTATTTATTTTCGTCTACCCGCCTAAATGTTCGAGAAATATACTATTTAATAAATAACCGTAGCATCTACAAAAATATAAGTATCCACTAAAAATAAAGTGATAAAAAATCTGTTGGATGAATAAAAATCCATTACGTTTTTTAGAAAAAAAAATGTTTGTTTACGTTTGGATTCGAAACTGTGCAGATATGAACAATTTCGTGACGAGTGAAGTTTTACTTAAAGAAAGAATTTGATTTCAAGTATCATAATTCAATTAACTTTTGTTAACAAATAATGAAGAAGGTTTTAATTCAGTTTATTTTTGAAAAATTGTCACCCCAAACACGAAATTTATAAAATCGTATATAAGTATAGTGGTACTATGACGTTCTGTAGCCTTCTAGTACTTCATAGAACCTTCAGTAACTTTTTGTTTAAAAGTTTCTATGCTATGATATAGATTTGAACTGTTAAAAATACATAAATACTTATACAATGACATCATTAGCAAAATGAAAAATAAACCTTCTGGAATATTTTGAGTTTTTATCTTATTTCGTATATGGTAAAAATCGAATTATCGATTTGGGTGTGACCTTTTACAAAAACTAAAACGAATTAATGCCCTTTTCCTTACTTTTAAACAAAAGTTCATCGATTTATAACAGGTACATATGGTTACAAAAAAGTCAAAACCCTAATTCACACGCTTATATTCATATGTACATATAAGCTTATATGTTGGCTATAATCTCAGGTAAGTGTATTTGTTATTATCAATATAGGCAGGAGTATGCTTGCTTGTGTATAACTAAACATATATGACCCACGTATTTACACAGTCAGCATTGCAATATGATCCAAGCAGGCTTAAAACCAATCAGATTTTATAATTGCTTATTTATGCTATTCTGTCAGGTCCGGGGCCAATTATCTACCTCATTATTTCGATAGATTTCACAATCAACAGACGTGGACACGCTATTAATTCAAGAAGAAAAAAACACATTTCTTACAAAACCTGACCCTGAAGGAGCTGTAAACAATCGGTACCATGGCCTACGGACGGACCGATATAGAAATACAGACGAAGTAGCAAGATAATTGAAATAATCGGTGTAGAGAGTGCGAAGAATATACCCCCGCCTCAGCCAATGAACATGGTTGCTTATGAATACTTCTGCCGATAATTGACGACTTTAATTTATCCTTGTTGCCACGGTGATATAAACAATGCAACGGTAATCGTAATTAATAAAACTGAAAAACACTTCTGTATCAGCTTGATGAATACAGTTTTGCGTAAGAATAAAAAAAAAATAGAATACCAATTCTTTAGTAACCAATTTCATTATATTGCATTGAATTATTTCTTTTTTTTATCATTTCATCCCAAGCAAGGCAATAATGCCACTAGGACGGAAGAGGTTATTGAGTGTTAGAGAAAAACTACAATTAAGAATAAAAAAAAAATAAATTAATAGTTAATAATGTATTGACTGTTCCGAAACTATCCCTCCCTGAATGCTTGTATTCGAAGTTAATTCTAGACAATCAAATCTTAATTTTATTTTTTAAGTATTGATCTTTTTTCATACTGAAGAGATTTTTATTTCACACTTAATACGGTAATAAAGCAACTAAGAAGCAATGGGTTAATGAGTGTTATAGAATATGAGAAAAACGATATTAAAGAGTGAGATCAATAAAATAACATGTATTAAGACAGAAGATAACGATTGATATTGCATGTTTTGACCCGTTAAAATTAATAGGACACTCCCTGCCATATTTAGCAACTCATTGTACATAATTTTTATGATCAGCTGCCACTTTGACTTTATTGAACCGATCTGACTTACTATTAAGACAGGATTAAACTGATGGCATTAGGGAAGTCATTTTTGAAAATCAGAAACAGCGTAGGTGCAATTTCCTGTGGAACACCTGCATTTATGCAAAAAGTTCTAAAAGTTTGGCAATATAAGATAACTATTGCTCGCTATATATATATATATATATATATATATATATATATATATATATATATATATATATATATATATCGCTATACCCACGGGAGAGAATACCTATCATAACAATATGGCGTCGTCGATCGGTTATTCAACTACGATGGAGGATCCTGAATATGTAGGAACATTACTTAGGTGTTTTTCGCGGCGTCGGCGAGATTAAAAATGTTAAAGGTCACCAAAGCGAGTGGAGGAGAAATGAAGTTACGGATTTTTTCAGCGGGGTATGATGCCATAAAAATTTTTCGTCATGGTCTATCCCAAAGTATTGGGAGTTTCAGCGTATAAAG